AACATCTTGCTTTGCTATTATCTCCTAATGGTCCGCGTCCACGACGAATGCCGTCAATTTATATCTCGAAAAGGAATATATACTGTAAAAAGTTGGTGGCATTTGGCAAATTTTTCTGCACGGACCACTGGACGACATCAAAGATCTGGCGAAAATGCAGTCGTGGATAGAAAACCAATACCAAAGATTCTTACGGTCTAATTTTCTGCAGATTGACGACTGATACTAGAAAAAAGGTTTGTAGACACATTCATATTGAATTACTTGCCTTTTCGCAAAGGAAACAAAATAGTAATTATTAATAATGTCGCTACAAAGCCTTTTTTTTAAATAATGGCCAATATACGGGACCCATAAGTAAAAAGAATGGTAGTAAAAAATGGATTTTGCATGTTATGGGACTGACTTTGTCAATTTAACTGTATTTATTCTTGTTTATATATTAAAGATTTATATATTAAAGACTTGCATTTTCGGTTATACCGAAAGTTGAGGCCACCGTGCTTATTTTAAATGTAACACCCTATATATTTTTCGAATGTACGTAAAATCCTGTATACATTTTTGTGCCAAAAATGACATTTGCAGGACATATCAGAATTGTCATCTTTTTCTAGTTTCTTCAAAACACATTCTACATGGTCTGAAACTGCTATTGAACGAAAAGTCAACATTTCGCCCACTTGCGTAATTCATCAGGACAAGAAACAAAAATAACAATAAAAAAATAAAATATAACTGCCAACCGGAGTAACAAACTGTGGTGTTTGAGGATCCCAATATGCCCTCGTGGTTTTTTTTTGTAGAAGAAGGGAGAATGAGACAGAGACTTCGCTTCTTGAAACAAAATATTGTGGCCGTTTTGAAGAGAACCTTCAGCAACAGCGGCCAGGGGCATTATGTGACTCAATTTTTGGGTTGGGGAAAATGTTCTTCTTGCTGATGTTTGTACCTACCCTTGCAGTTAATAACAATATTTTTATTTTTTTAAAATTGCTTTCATTGTTTATTTGTACACCGGCAGCTAAGAAGGCGAGTGCGGGCTATGCGCAGATGACCAATTTAAAGTCCGCAGGAGAAGACAATAGGTGCAATTAATAGATGCGTCATCTTTTGTCTTCATAGCTAATCTTTTGTTTATACATATTTAGTGAATGTAATAACATTTATTTAGGAAATTGTGTATCTTGTTGTTTAATTAAAGATTGACGTGTGAATAAAACCAATGGTGAGTTTATGCTTATTTTGTAATAAATTATAGTCCACTTCTTAAAAATGATGAGATGGTGTTTGAAAGAAGTTTTGAAGAAGTAAATGAGTAAATAATAATAAGGGCTACAACATTCACAGACCCTAAACTAAACTATTACCGTGAATGCCTACAAAATTATAAAACCTGCATGAATGTAAAGGAATAATTACAAGTAAGGAGAACCCACTTTGAAACTTTGAATCATATCTACAAGAGTTATTTATACACTTTTAAATAAACCTAACTAAAGTTGCCTAACTTGTATCAGAACTAAACGAAGGTAAATAGGTTTAAGAAGTCGGTCCTGTTGTTGCATTGCACTCTTACATTTTTAATGGTACAATATTAAAGATCGAAGATGCGGAGTTTCAACTTTGTCATTTGAGGAGAGATGTTCCTGGACCATTTCTAAGCTTAAAAGGTTTACAGCTTGTGATATGAAACGAGTAAAGTTTGCGAGTCTCTTTTGGGTTCATTTCACTCACATATTTTGTCTTGAGTGTTTTAAGTATTTTGAATCTTATGAGTCGGTAGTATTGAGCTCAAACCCAGAGTTGAAAAGTCAGAAATTACATTTTTTTAATAAATGAATGTGGCTGATTAGTTCGAATGTATATAGGGTTTGTCTGCTCGACTGGTGTCCGTCTGTCCGTCGGTGAACACCATAACTGTCAAACGCTCGGACCGACTTAGCAACAGTTAACCTATATGCCACATGTAATAATCCTATTGAAAATGGGTCAAATCCAATGACCCCTTGGGGTCGCGCCTCTCTGTCTCTGCGGAACACTTGAACCTATTCGGTTCAAACTTTGCACAGCTGACCTATATGTCACATGTGCCAAGCCTATTGAAAATGGGTCAAATTCAATGACCCCGTAGGGTCGTGCTCTGTCGCTTTTTTAGGTCCGTGAAAAAAAACACGCTAGTGTAGATGTGCAGGCTTTGGTCTATTTTGAGTTAGCTCTCGAGATTACTCGTGAGATCTATAGTTTTAAACTTTGCTAATAAAATAGTAATCTGTATTACCAAAACTGCGCTTTCATAATGCATATGCTGATTTCCGACTTTATGCTGCCAAAACTGGCATTTATACGTATTTTGCCCTTTTAATTTGCGATACCCTGTGTATTTAATGTTTGACCGATACCGTCGATATACCGATTCCTCTATCTGTATCGTTCATCCGTCAATCCTTATTTGTAGAAGGGAAACTTAATGGAGAATCAGAAATTGTGATACTGTTTTCAGTAGTTGAATTGCATATCACAGAGATATATATATATATATATATATATATATATATAATTTCTGTATGTAGATAAATTACGAGATTTAAAAAGGATATAATCTTGTGGGTGGATTTTAGTTTGGATTACACTCACTTAAATACAATTTTCCGTTGTCAATTTACGACATGGCATGAGAGCTATCTATAGTATTTTTGCATCTGGAGTATTAGATCGGTTGGTTCTTTGAGCCATATCGTCCAAGACACATCTACAAGAGGTAAAACTACGCAATTGCACAAAATCTAGTTGATATTTAATATCTTTAAATTGGCCTAGTTAAGTAATATGCGGTCTCAGATTCTGTAGACATTGAATAGGTTATCAGTGTGGACATTATTGCAGCAAACACTTATTCTAATCGCCATTTAATTATTTTAGTTATTAAATTGAGCTATCACAGTTAATAACTAACAAACACTTTATTGTACGCATGTCGATAACATCATGACCTTACTTCTTTAATACCGTGACCGTAAAAATCAGAAAGCATGACCGTAAAAAAGAATAAAAAAGCGTATTGTGCGGTAGTCATAAACTCATTAACTTTATCACTGCTTTACTTTTCCAAAATATTTTTCTTTGTATCGGTAATTTCCAGTTTGTGGACTTTACTGTACGGCTACCTGTCGCGCATGACTTACGCTATTTGCACAAGATATATCAACCAAAATTTTGGATAAGCGTTTTTTGGAAGTTATGGTGTGCGAATCCCCAGTTGCATAAAGTCTAATTGTGTGTTGGGGTTGCTTGTTTATTAAAAATGCATACAGTGCACGTAATTAATTTAATAGTAACAAGACTCTTTATTGATTATAGTAATCACACAAAATGAAAAAATAACACACCCGAAAACAGTAGTAAAAGAAAAATCCTTATTCTCCTTACAGTTGTTATTGATAGAGAAAAAACTGTTTTCGAAAGCTCTAACACAAATATAAAGGGATTACGTTTGGAAATTGCTGTATCCCCCATTATTTTTTCGCTGTACTAACCTTTATAGCTGTTATTAGCATTTCATTTAATCATATCGGTTATCCTTTGTACACCGAAAAATTGAACATTTTTTTTTCAGACCATGCTTTGGGTACAAACGGGGAATGGATTTATTCAAATGTTATCTTTTCGAGTCTCCTTTCCCTGTAACCATATTAATTATTACCTACCTAACCGAGTTGTACACTTTCATTTCACATTTTGAAAATCAATACACTTTCTTTACATAATGTGCGTCGAGTGGATTGATTCTTTGATTTCACTTTCTAATAAGACGAATAGGTGCTAATTTATCACACCACAACTAGGTACCTATACTTATCTGGAGTTGTCAAAGTAACCCAAACGGGACCTTCTCATAATAATGATGGAAAAAGCTATATATACTTCGCACGGCCAGAGGAGCACCGGCTGTCATACATCAAAGGATTGTCATGAACAAACAGACAGACACCACGAAGGAAAATCAGTCACTTTTGTGTACCTAATTAGGTCGTCTTTTGTGTTACCCTTTCGTTTAGCATGGTAACGATTTTCTGTCGAACGACGTAGTAGGTGAAAACCTTATTTCAAGTCGGTTGCGTATAGCAATTGCGGTTGGGAAGGTGCCTTCAAAATTAAGACGAAATGAATTATTAGAATTTTAGTTGGCGGTATAGGCGTAAAACATTCTGGTAATTATCCCATAATATTGGAGTATATTTCGCCTTGGGCATTTAAAAAAGGCAGGTGTACCTGCTGTACCTGGTGCACCTGTCGCTTAGTTACAACCTTAGACTACAAAACGTATTTTACGTTTTTGCACGAAATACACACTCCCAAATCTATTGGCTTTATAAATGTGAGTAATTAATGTGGCCTATCGATTTTTACGAAGGCGTGTTGTAGTTAAAAATGGGAAGTGTAACTTTGTAGTATTTATTTATCTATCACCATCTGCCCCTTTTGTTTCTTTTTCGAATCACTATGAATAACGGAATAGTCTAAATAAAATTAATCAAAAGCCTCTAAGGCACCTCTCCTTATAATTTAAAAAGACCACACACGCTACACAAAACTTCGTGTCTCTCTTCGTCTCTTGTGAACTGTCCGACCGTAACAAAAGGAAAGCTCTTGTCCGTCGGTCCATCTGAGTAAGTGACAAGTCTAAATTTGATCAAAAACTATAGTTATCACCACTTTGTTGGCAAAGCGGCAAAACTCGTCTATTTATCATCTATCAAAATTGAGTAATTTGTGACGTTATTTTCTTTACCGTGTAATCTTTGCTTTGGTTTACATTTGAATTACTACCCAATAAACAGACATATAAAACATACATAACAAATATGTAAGATTAAGATAAAAACTTATATATTTAGTTTTTTATGTATCATATATATCAGAACTACTATGTTATTTAGGAGTTCATTAATTTTTATATATATTATATATAAAAAAACTATATGTAGCCCATATATCAAAAAAGAGTTGTATGAATTACAGCAATACTAAATATATTAACATTACATAACAAATTTATGTATTTAATATATACATATGAGTATATGATATACTTAATGAATAATGTCACCAAAAAAATGTACATTTTATGTCAGATATCTGCTACCCACCATGTACTGTATGTTTTGCTACATCCGATATACATAAAATTAACTGAAGAGGCGACAGCCAGCTCAGCACTAGCGCAAGCGCACGCTGCTTGATTACCGTTATACAGTGATTAGTGATAATTTACGTCTTTTTTTTATTATTAAATACAATATTCATTATTGAATCTGATTAGGTACTATTGTATTTATAAATTTTGTGCTGTGTTAGTCTACCGACGTGAAGAACTGAAGATATAGTATTAGAGGTTAGTATAATTTTATTCTTCACATGCTAATTTTTCCTAACCTTAAATATACCATAATTTCTGAGCGGGAATTGTTTGTTCCTTGTGTAGGTATAAATAAACCTGTGTAAATGCTTATTTTAGTTACTTGAATGATGAATAACGAGCGTAAAATTAAAGATTTTAGTGAGTTGACTACCCGACAACAAAGACGAAGAGTGCTTTCCCATTTACATTTACATCATCGTTCGGTTCATGCATCACAGCTTTCTTCTACAGATATTGTTCACAGCACCCAAGAAACTACGCAGGAACCTATACCGTCAACATCAAAAGCTGTAACAATTGACGAGCATAGTGAAATATTTGATAGTACATTGTCATCGTCTACTTTATCTACAGCTGATGCTAGTATAAAATCCTCAGATATATCTGTTTACCATCCCGTTTCATCACATAAAATTGTATCTAATTTTGAAAGTGACCTCCGTGCTTTAATTATAAAACATCATGTATCGCATCAATTCGTAAATGATTTATTACCCCTGCTACGTGATAATGGGCATAATTCTTTACCAAGGGACGTTCGCACGTTCATGAAAACACCCGTTAATACATCAAGTATCGTGAACAGTTGTGCAGGTGGACATTATATTCATTTTGGTTTCGAGAAGATGTTACATCACTCTTTAGTACATTATAATTATACATCTCCAGTTGTCAGCATTAACTTTAACATCGATGGACTACCTATATCGAAGAGTTCAAATTCACAATTGTGGCCAATTCAAGGTGCGATTTGTATAAAGGACACATACACAGAACCATTTATTGTAGGTTTGTTTTATGGTGCCAAGAAACCATCAGATGCAAATGAATACTTGAAACCTTTTTGTGATGAGGCCAAGGGACTTTTAATGAATGGAATTTATGTAAATAATAATCATATATCCATTAAGATAAATGCTATCATATGTGATGCTCCTGCCAGAGCATTTATAGCAGGAATTAAAAGTCACACTGGATACTTTGGATGTTCCAAGTGTACTACGGAAGGAACTTTTACTGACAATAGAGTCATATTTCCCCAATTAAATGCAACTCTGCGTTCAGATGTCTCATTTTTACAGAAAATTCAGGAAGAACATCATAAATCGGATACTATACTACATCACAGTTTAAATATTGGCATGGTAACTCAACTTCCACTTGATTACATGCACCTTGTGTGTCTGGGAGTTGTCAAAAGGATGCTCCAGTTTTGGATAAATGGAAAAAAAGATTTACGTTTAGGAGATACTTCTAAGGAAATTTTAAATAAGAAATATATGTCGTACAGGCAGTTAATACCTTGCGAATTTAGTCGAATGCCTAGAAGTGTATCTGAAATTGATCGCTGGAAGGCCACAGAATTGCGTTTTTTTTTAATGTATGGTGGTGTAATTGCCTTGAAAGATATACTGAGTGAACAATATTATGAACATTTTTTATGTTTAAGTGTGGCTATTCGTATTTTGTGTAACAGTGAATTAATCAAACAATATTTAGAGTACGCTGAGAAACTTTTGTTGCACTTTGTAAAAAAATATTCTGGTTTATATGGTGAACGTTATATGTCCTATAACGTTCATAACCTTATTCACGTTTGTAATGATGTCAAGATATTTGGTGCCCTCGATAATTATAGTGCATTTAAATTTGAAAATTATATGTGCGAGATCAAAAAAAACCTCAAAACTGGTTCTAATCCTTTACAACAAATATTTAATCGGATTATGGAGAAGAATAATCAAATAAGTTTAGTTCACAATGTGGAACCTATTGTTTATCCCAAAATTGTGGAAAAAAATGGACAAATTCACTCACTGCAATTTAAATCTTTTAAATTAACTAACCGACAACCAAATAACTGTTGTTTGTTAAATGATGGCCATGTAGCATTAATTACTAATTTTTTTCTCTTAAATTCTCATATCTATGCTTCAATTCATATGTATTTATCCAAGAAAGACTTTTTCAAAGTTCCATGTGCATCCTCACATTTAAATATATATGAGCTTTCTTCAGACAAAGGTGCAATAGATATTACGGAAATACCAGTAACAATGATTGCACAGAAATGCATTATTTTAAAGACCAATTCAGATAAGGATGTAATGCTAACACTACTGCATGTAGATTAACAACGGCAATTGGAGAGATTAATTTTTCGTTTTTCTTGCTAGTTATTATTTTCTTTTTATAATATAAATTTTAGTTAAAAACACTGATTCCACTGAAAGCTTAATATTTAGCATATATGCAACTAGTAGTTTAAGGAATTTTCAAATCGATGAACATGAACATTAATAATTCATTAGTGAAATTTTTGATGAACTGAAAATTAAGTAACATTGACGTTTAGATGCAGGACAAGTCGTATGCGGTGGTTGCCTTTCTGGATGAAGAGGACAGCTACTCGGAAATCCCGTCATTTTGGCTGTCCCACAATAACACTAAGTGTTGGTGGCCAAAGAGTAAAACACCTTCAAATTTTATAAAACGTGGAGCAAAACCCGACCCCGCAAAATGGAGTTTATGCAGTGTAAGAGTTGAAGGAACTTTTTGTAAGTTTTTTTCTTGGTTTCTAGTTAGTGAATTGTAATGAATTTTACTGCATTGTGTAGGTACGAAAAATGGTGGCTTTAAATTACTGATTTTGCTTGTACCATGATTTGTACATCTGTGTTAATCATCACTTCAAAGGGGGTTGCGGAATAAGAATGGTTAATTGGCCCCCGTCGAGTTAGAATCTATCGACCTGATAATATCGAAGGAAAATCACATTTTTTCTTAGTATAGAGAATTCTTAAGAAAATAAGAAGTTGCAGATATCTTTCTTTTGTTTTGAGATCCCCTTCGATATTATCGGCTCGATAGAATCAAACTCGACGGGGGCCAATTGACCATTCTTATCCTGCTACGTCCTTTAATTTACGAACTACTCATATAAACTTTGTTTTAGCGACTTTAGAAGAAGCCAGAAAAAGGGCTGAAAATGAAGATTATACCTCTTCGGAGGAAGTCCAACGCAACAGGAAGAAAAATCCAAAATATGTGGATTCCCAACTAGCTATTACAAGTGATGAAGGTAAATTAAATATTCCTTTCATCAAACATATGTCTAATGCCAATTTAATGATAGAATATTCAACAAGTCGAAGTGGAACACCGCCACCACAAATGTGTGAAGAAGTTTTAGTCTATGCTTCACCTTCAACATCACCCATTAATCTAGAACAAATGCCAGTTATAATTGCAGATAACATCGTCGAGTCTGGTAAAATATATTCCTTTATACTTCACGGCAAACCTAGAATTATTTTAAATATATGAAGTTGCCTAATATATGCACGTTTATAATGTCTTTAAAATATTTGTACTTAATTTTGGAACACTGTATGCTATGGCTTTTACGAATCTGCTTTTATAGGTACCGTACAAGCTGCCACTAATTCGTACGGTTATACGTTAGGTAAGCATTTATTTTATTTTTTTCTTATGGTAATTATATGTTTGTATTTTTTTCTAGATAAAATATATGAACTACTTGTAAGTACGAACTTATATGTAAAAGGTATATCAGCACGACTAGAGAAAATGGAAAATTCAAGAAAAATTGAGAGTGTCAATAATCATGATGCACTGAAAGATTTAAGAAAAATGTTGCCCTTAAGCAGCACAGATGATATAAATCAATTTGAAATATTTCTTGGGGATGATGAACAAAAGAAAATTTTTGTAAGTATATTTAGGTATAAAAGTGTTCTGCAAATTTAAATTATTTCAGACAAATTTTATATCCTCTATAGGAGGTAGGAATGTGAAAGATAATATTCACAGATGTTTGAAATCAATATTCTCTAATGAAGCTGCTACCAAATGTTCGTGGCTAGGCCAACGAGGCAATTTTCGCGTTTGTGATCTATCTTCAATAACTGTCCTAAAAGGTACTATTGTTTTTGTTGAGATGTTTATAAATGATGTACATTATTTTGCAGATCAGATCCAAGTCAACTATAATATAACATTAAAAGAGTTTGAAGTCATTGGTAGCGAATGGTTCCGTTTGTCAAAATTAAGGTTAAAACCAGATAAACGCAACCCTGATTCTTCTAATGTCGTCAACTAGTATTGTAATCTATTATATAATATAAAATATACATTTTGTTCAATATATTGTATTTAAGTAAAAATGAATATATCGTATTTACATAAATTTCTATATGTTTATTTAGTACAAATATTTACATCATATATATATATATATATATATATATATATAAACTGATGTATATTTACATAAAAAAATTTACATTATATATATAATACTGATGTATATTTACATCAAGAAATTTACATAAAATATACAGATTTGGTATTTAGAAAATTGCTGACATTTTGATATGAAATATCTCTTATTCATCTCCCAATATTACATAATTCTAACAAGCTTGTACATAATTTATACATACATTTTATATAATTATGTTTGTTGGGTATGTGGAATCCCTCTCGAATAACATTATGCGAACTCTTACCTTTATATAGCAATCCTTACGCCATCTAGGTGTTCACATTATAACCCGATCCTTTATTTGCGATATAGTTTTCTTTTAAAAAAGCTTTTGTCTAGTTTTCTGTTGATTGGCGCGGTTATTCTTCTCCCACTCACTGTCGACGCGCGCAGTCCTTGTTGAAGAACTCGATTCGATCTTGACTTGTATTTGAGCTACACGCTACACTTACTTGACATATTCGTCTACCTTTATTGGGATTAATTAGTGGTGTTGTACTAAGATTAGTGAAGTTTTCTCTTATCATCTTACTTCCAATTTCGCTGATGACGCATTGCTGCGGATTTATCTTACAAGTTTAAGGCCGTTTTGCGGTATGTTATCTATGACGCATTATCTTTTTATTTTAAATACTTAAGTACTCTCTAAGTTTTCTTACTTATTATTTTGGTTTTACCAATTGCTTCCTGACTGTACATTGATATTTTGACGTGGAAACGCGAATACCCGATTTTCCATATGGTGCAATAGAATTCCATTGAAGTTTCGACGCCATTACAATCAAAAACGCTCTACAGTCTACATATTTCTACCTTACCGACTGAAGAATTGACGGAAGAATCACCGNAATTACTATGTGGAATCCCTCTCGAATAACATTATGCGAACTCTTACCTTTATATAGCAATCCTTATGCCATCTAGGTGTTCACATTATAACCCGATCCTTTATTTGCGATATAGTTTTCTTTTAAAAAGCTTTTGTCTAGTGTTCTGTTGATTGGCGCGATTATTCTTCTCCCACTCACTGTCGACGCGCGCAGTCCTTGTTGAAGAACTCGATTCGATCTTGACTTGTATTTGAGCTACACGCCATTACACTTACTTGACATATTTGTCTACCTTTTTTGGGATTATTAGAAGTTTTCTCTTCATCTTACTTCCAATTTCGCTGATGACGCATTGCTGCGGATTTATCTTACAAGTTTAAGGCCGTTTTGCGGTATGTTATCTATGACGCATTATCTTTTTATTTTAAATACTTAAGTACTCTCTAAGTTTTCTTACTTATTATTTTGGTTTTACCAATTGCTTCCTGACTGTACATTGATATTTTGACGTGGAAACGCGAATACCCGATTTTCCATATGGTGCAATAGAATTCCATTGAAGTTTCGACGCCATTACAATCAAAAACGCTCTACAGTCTACATATTTCTACCTTACCGACTGAAGAATTGACGGAAGAATCACCGCCATTTCATGTGAAACCGATATTTGAACTGCTGACCCAATTTTATGAAGTTCGTTGACCTACGATTCATTCTTCCGAAACGCAAGTACGTAATTAACGAGACGTGTGGAGTTGGTACTGTGTAAATTTTTTAATTAACGTTATGTATTTTACTTTGAAGAACTTGCTCGTGTAATTTCTTTTGAATTGATAAGATTGCTTTGTCATTGAAGATAGATTCAGTTATTTTATTTGTACATTTTATAGTATTTTTCTCTTAAAACTTCATGTCATTTTTTTATATCTCATACCGATTGTGAAAACCAACCCTTAGTCGAACCAAATTTTGTTTTGTTGTAAAGTCATTTGAATTTTTGATTCTTTTTAGTATTGATTGCAATTCTACGTACAAGAATAACCATTCGTGTCTTACGTTAACCATTGCTTATGCGATATATTGTGCAACGCGAATCACTACCCTTCTTATATTTTTTTGTTTTTGTGTCTGACTGTTTCAGATTTGCAGTTTCGCGTCCTCTGAGCTCGGAAGGTTGCGACCGGAGTTCAAGGTAAATTTAGTTATTTTCGTCGTTTTTCCCTTTTAACGTTTGATTACATTTTGGTTGTTGATACTAACGAGTTGTGATTATTACTTTGTTTGAAAGTCACTTAATGATTATAGCTCCGTTGTTTCTGCGGAAGCCCTTTTGGATAAATATTTTCCCAGGCTACGTGTTGGCTTCTCATTTGTTTTATTAGAGATTATGTTAAATTCCCAGTTTGATATACTAGATCGATATATTACAGTGTCAGATTTGTGATATTTTGAGATCTTTGTTATTAAACTACCCGCATTTATACATCAAATACTGTTTGTTTTCCCCATAATTGTGTATTCCTTTGAGTTTAGTAAGACGAGAACAAGGATCTCTTGGTCTGCCTTGTTCATCCCCTTTAGTATTCCTCTCTCTCTAAATTCATCAAAGACTAAGTGGCGCCTATCCGGATTACTTTTACTGTTTCCTTCCCTTTTTGGTTTATTTGTGTGTGTATAGAAGAACCCCATTTCCACCCCGACCCACCTCTACTTTGCCTGAGCTTACCGTGTGCTTATCTAAGGTAATTTTGTCACGTTGGCCCAAAGTGAACGTAACAACTTACTACCTACTACTGCCTACATTGTAGTGTATTGCTCGGTGTATTTTATGGTATAGTAGTGTCGATAATGCCACAGTCAAAGATTTTGTATTGCATACAGGTTTTCTTTGGAAACTTTAGTTTTAGTTTAAAAAAAAATGCGCTATTATGGCCACTTTGTCCGCCCGTCCGTTCCTACGGCCCTACGGCTGTCACTATCAGATCTTTATCTTAAGAACTATTTTGCCGTACTTTTTCCCCAGGTAGTTCGTTTTGATGTAGTAAGTACTGATAATAATTATATATATATATATATATATATATATATATATATATAATTCCACTGATTTGATTGATGAATTTGTAAAAAACCAATTACTGACAAAATTGAACTCGACAAGTACAAGCTATCTATTATCGACCACACAAAGGATCTCCCTAGAAATGAGGTAAAAAGAAAATTGCGCCATAATTAACAGTAGTTCGTTTTACACCGAATGCCACAAATGGCGCAAAGCAAAACATCCATTTTGCGTTAGTACAGAGCTATCTTACCCCATATGAACTAAATGTTTGATCTGATTATGGCTTAAATTTGATTCTTGTCTTTTAAACGTTGTTACTCATGTATATTAAGCTTCTAATCAGGATCATGTATGAACTTATATAATTGAATGTTTTATTCACATGTAAATCGTAATAATGATGTCCGTGCCCCCAGGGCATTTGAATATTAAATAATATGCCTTTGTCGAAATTAGATATTATTCTGAATATAAACATAATAATTTAATACAAAAATAAAGCACGGCGAAAAAGGAATAAATAACAAGTTTATTTCATTTATTTAATGACCCACTTTCACGAAGGTTTACGAAAATAATAAGCGAATTTAAGGGTTTTGAGCTAATCGTCTTGGTTTGGTTTTGGTGGGTTGCAGAAATACAAAAACAAATACGTGAAGACTTTGTAAATCAGCTACCCCTGTGGACTGCTGTTCTTGTCAAATCTTTTAATTGCCAACAGCAACAGTAGAAAGTAATTTAACGAATTGAAGGTAAATAAAAATAAGAGAGCAGATAAGTCGATAAGTTTTCAGCGAAGCAGCTTCCCGTGGAAGATGATGTAGAATTGCAGAAACTAAACAAGACGACTTTTAGAAAAAACCAAAATAGTAATGGGGCCTGCAAAGAAGGCAGACGAATGCAAAAAGTCAACAGCTAGTCAAAATCGCGATAGTAATGTTCGATATATGTGAAAGCATCACGGATAGAGCGAGCGAGGAAAATTGGAGAGGAGTAGAGACTGTGAATAACGGAAGTATCTCAAACATTTTCCGGAGTTGGATGCAGACATTACCAATAATGAACTACACCATCCAAAAGAAGGGGTTCTAGGAAATGGAAATTTATCGGGTACTGTGCAATTAGAAGAACGTTTTTGGGGTGAAAAGGAACACGATGAAAGGGTAAAAAATGAGGTCGGAAGTGAAAAACCGCGATTTCTCATAGCGCGACCACACATATTACAACACAACGTTGGTCCTATCACCAGGCACGTTGGTTACTTGACGATCATGTGCTATGGGTTTCAGTTAGTTTTGGTGGGAGTTTATATTTTTGGTTTTGGTTGCGCAGTCGTTTATGGGCTGCACCTACATCCCCCGTATTAATTATAATTCCTCTTAAACAAATAAAGTTGATAATGTCTCCAAAAATTTGAACAGTTGGCAGCAAACCCAAGTACTATAAGGTCGGTATGCGTAATCAAGTTATTAACACATAAATAATAACTGTCAATAAACACCATACATTTTGGAACATAACGGCGCCATTGTGGCGCATTGCGCGGTGAACGAATTCTCCAAATAAGCCAATTGTTAATGATGATCAACACTCTACAGTTGAATGTTCTAGACCCGGAGAAATATAAACTGAAGCACGTCCTACGCCATGATAATTTCAGTTTACAATCTAATTTTGAGGTTCAACACGACATAAATTTACTGCGAATTAAATATAAATAAATTCGTTTAACGTTTCGTCTTAAAAACCCTTCGGTGTACTAAGGGGTATGTTTTGAGTGAAGGGAAGTGCACACCGCAAGTTCTAAGGGAAAATTCCAAATATAAGAATGTGAATGATTAAGTTTCAACTGTATGTGACCTCAAATCCTCGTATTGAGTTTCAGAATTATGATTTCCAATATTGATGAGTTTAGGGGTTTGAGTCGTGGTCTTTTGGTTCCGACACCCGATTTTACAGTGAAATAACATTACCGCCTGATTAATGACCACGTTCACATGGCGCGTTTTTCATTTAAAAAGACCAAT